CTGTAAATTTGCTAGAGCATGTTTTGATAATATGAAGATAGTAACTACAATTAAATACCTAGAAGATTTTACTTTAATTACTTACTAATTAAGTAAAAAATTGAACTTTTTTGGGGAAAGGTTATACATGGCAATGATTTACTTCATTTTAAACAGCAGTAAGAAACTGGATGTGTAATTCTGAACTATAGTTAATATAGTTAACATAGCAGAATTATATCTAAAATATCTACATATAGCTGTAAAAGGTTTATAGGGGCCTACAGCTTTCTTCCGCTGCTATTCATAAGGTTTTCACTGACCAGTTTTTTCAGAGGTAGACTGCCAGGTCCTTCTTCCTAGTCTGTCTTAGTCTGGAAGCTCCACTGAAACCTGTCCACCATGGCTGATCCTGCTAGTATTTGAAATACAGGTGGCATAGCTTTCAGCATCACAGCAACATGCAAGCTGCCACAGTAAAACAAACTGACAGATACGTGGGGTCTCTGGATCATAACAAATTATGGATACATTGCGAAGAATCGGAATTCCAGAACACTTAATTGTGTTCATGAGGAACCTGTACATAGACCAAGAGGCAGTCATTTGAACAATACAAGGGGATATTGCGTGGTTTAAAGTCAGGAAACATGTGCATCAGGGTTGTATCCTTTCACCATACTTATTCAATCTGTGTGCTGAGCAAATAATCTGAGAAGTTAGACTATATGAAGAAGAACAAGGAATCAGGATTGGAGGAAGATTCATTAACAGCCTGCAATATGCAGATGACACAACCTCGATTGCAGAAAGCACTTATTGATGAAGATCAAAGACTACAGCCTTCAGTGTGGATTGCACCTCAACATAAAGAAAACAAAAATCCTCACAACTAGAGCAATAAGGAATATCAAGAAAAATGGAGAAAAGATTGAAGTTGACAAGGATTTCATTTTACTTGGATCCACAGTCAATACCCATGGAAGCAGTAGTCAAGAAGTCAAATGATGTACTGCATCGGGCAAATCTGCTACAAAAGACCTCTTTAAAGTGTTAAAAAGCAGAGATGTCACTTTGAGGACTACAGTATACCTCATCCAAGCCATGGTATTTTCAATTGCCTCATGCAAATGCTGGACAATGAATAAGGAAGACCAAAGAAGAATTGACACCTTGGAATTATGGTGTTGGCAAAGAATACTGAATATACCGTGGACTGCCAAAAGAACAAACAAATTTGTCTTGGAAGAAGTACAACCAGAATGCTTCTTAGATGCAAGGATGGCAACACTTCACCTCACGTACTTTGGACACTTATCAGGAGGGACTGGTCCCTGGTGAAGGACATAATGCTCGGTAATGTAGAGGGTCAGTGAAAAAGAAGACTCTCAATGAGATGGACTGGCATGGTGGCTGCAACAATGGGCTCAAGCATAACAACGATTGTGAAGATGGTGCAGGACTGGGCAGTGTTTCATTTTATTGTACACAGGGTCGCTATGAGTCAAAACTGACTCAACGACACCTAACAATAACAACATAGCTCTCTTCAGTCTCTTGAAGATATATAATGGTGAATGTTTCACATAAGAAATGACTACAATTACTTTAACTTACAACTATTACATAATTTATCCATTTGTTGTACTCTGGTATTTTTATCCAAACCAATCTGAAGAATTTCAAAAGATTAATTTTCAAGAATGCTATTTGAAAACACTCTGCCCTGATTTAAATTTCTATAAATTAAAGGACAATGTGGCTTAGTAGGCTTTGGAATTGGACAGACATAGCTTTGGATCCTAATAACTGTATGAGCTTAGACTCTGAGCCTCTTCTGTTTCATCTGTAAAATGGGAATAAAGCTACCTTACAGGGCTGTTGAAAGTATACGAGAATGATAGTGCTGACAATTTCACTTGCAATGATTATACAACACTGAAAAGCAAAATAAAAAGTAAGGACCTTTTCCTGATCCAGTTTTCTGCTTAGCTATGGGTCTCACTCATCCTCTTTTCTCATCACATTCTTATGGAGAAAAATAAACTTTTAATAAACCTTAAAACTCCCTTCACTGTATCCTGTGTTTCTAATCTTAGCCATCAATATCACCACGTATATAACTACCAAATCCTGAAAACTTATTCATCCTTGACTCTTCCTTCTCTCTCAACCTGCATATTTAGCCAGTCATCAAATCCTTCTGTTCTACTTTTGATAGCTTCATTAATTCATTCAGCAAATATTTACTGAACACCTACTATATGGCAGACACCGTTCTAGGCACCAAGAAGACAGTCGTGAACAAAAACAAACAAAATCTCTGTTCTCATAGTGCTTATTTTTTGTGGAGGGAGACAGACCAAAACAAAACAAGGCAAAAACCAGAACAACCACAAAAAACAAAAAAAGCAAAGTATATAGTACGCCATATAGTGTTAAGTGCTATGGAGAAAAATAATGCAGAAAAGAGGGATAGCACAGAGGTGGGGGTGTGTGTGCATGTATGTGTGCGTGTGCATGTGTATGTTGGGGGAAGTTTGCTATTTTAAATTAGGGACCTGAGGTGGTCAGGAAGTGAGCCTGGGGTAATAACATTACAGGCAGAAGGTACAGCTCCTTAGGAGCAGATTGGCAAGTCTGGAGTTGAAGAGGGAGATCCACGAAGAGACATAAAATTGAGAGTTGTCAGTTTATAGATAGTATTAGAGCCATGAGAATAGATAAGATCATCACAAGCAAGGATAAAAACAAAACAAAAAAACCAGCCATCTCTCCCATGGCACTCTCTACTTCTCTGCTGGGTTTGATAACTCATTGCAATGGCCATACACAACTCATAGACCATACTCAGTTATGAGGTTTATTAGGGAAGTATTCAGGATCAGGAAAGACTCAGGACACAGTTCTTCTATCAGGACAGCTCCTTCTCAGCTGAGCCTGCAGGCAGGCATCTCCCTCTGCTCTCAGCCCTCAGCCTGGCCTTTGCCCTGCTTGGGCAAGTATTACAGCTTTTTAGCTCCACCAATGAGTGCCCAGAGGCACCCCAGTCTGCCAGTAAGCCTTGTCCTAAGGGCGCTCAGCTCTTTTGGTCTATGGATTGGCATGCCTACTGCAGTCGCCTTGCTCCATGGGCTGGGAAACCCACTGAGCCATCTTGCACCGATCTCCTGGTCCCACTGTCGCCGTTTCTCTGCTGTTGGACTCTGCTGTGCTTGCCGCCAATTCTCGCCATCTTGCACAGTCTCAGGTGTTACAGCTCTCTCTGTCTCCTGTGTCTAGGAGGTTCTCAGTGCAGGGACCCTAGGTCCAAAAGTCATGCTCCGCTCCTTGCTATTCTTGATGCTAGTAACGTCCCCTTCCCACCTCTGGGATTGGCTCATTTTAAGCCTATCAGGATGGCAAAACTGACCAATCCCCTCATTAGGTTCCATATACATTATTTGCATGGTCCCATTCCCATAAGAGTTCCACACACCTTATTTGCATTATTAGCAGGCTGTCCAATCCCCTTGGTGGGCCACAAACAGCATATTTGCACAGTCCCACCCAATCATTTTGTGGGAATCACAAAGACCAAGGCTGGAAGGGCCAAACAAAGTAATTCACTGCACTGCAGAGTCCCCTTCTTTTTGGCCAATCTTGGTCAAAGTGAAGCTTCCATCATCCTTGGTGGGGAGGTAGGGGGAAGGAGGGAGTTGGTTATGGCAGGAGTACCACAGGCTCTTTCTTACTGACATTTAGTAGATTTTTTTGAATAAATGTTTCCTCATTTGCTGATTTGTTTTATGAACTTAGGACAGTTTCCAGAGACTTTAATTTATATATATATATATATATATATATATAATATTTATATAATTTTCACCAGTTACACCTTTTCTATTGGGGTATAGGTCTGTGAAACTCCTTATGCAATAATTTCCACTCAGTATTTCTTAAGTAGAGGTTATCAGTAAACTAATATTTCCATATAAATGAAGTATTCACTTTGTATATTCAAAAATTTACTGAGTACTACTAAGAATTAGGCACCACGTTACATATCAGCTATATAAGCAAATAAGCTTTTAGAAGATTTTTGTATTTTCCAACTTTTAATTAATAACTAACTTTATATTAAAATACAGAATTTTTAGTCATACTTTTGAAATCATTGAAATTCTCTTAAAATTGTTTCTAGGGTTTAAATTTTAATTTTATAAATAAATTTTATAAAGTCTATAGACTTCAGCTCTTGGAATGTTTGATTAATTAAACCTTCCTGAGACATTTCTTTGTAACATTTTCTTCTCTCTTAAACACACACACACATACACACACACCACCAACATCAAACAAAAGCCTGCCCATCCAAACAGCTAGGACTAATTTACATTTAATTAAGCAGAAATTTCTAAGTGGAATCTAGAAATTCCTCCATGGCATTTATACTGACATTCAATCAAAATCCAATTAGTAATATGCATGAGAAATCATTTAAAAAAAAGAACATAATCTAGGCAGTTATATAGAAATTACATATTTTGTGTTTATGATAAACTAATTTTATTTAAATAAATATGCAAAAGACCTAGCTAAGGGTTCAAGCATCCACAATATTAGCATATGAAATGAATAAAAAATAATCATGATAAATTGATTAAAAAATATTTAACTACCTTAAATAGAAAAGTATCATGTAAAATGATTTCCCTAAACATCTTGTGTGGCTTAAATATGAAGTTAACATCCAGTTAAAAACCTGTGCCCAAAACAAAGAAAGCTTACCTGCCAAACTCTCCTGGTTGTAGCAAATATGACTAAAACACTCCAAAAACTCATTGCACACTCTTGTTCTTCTATCTAATCCCATACAAAGATCAAAAGTTAACCTTATCCCAACCTACAACATTTAATCTGATAAAAAATAAACATGGCTTGCATTTCAGAAGGATTTAGTTAGTAATAGAGATCTGTCCTAAAGTATATGATTTAGACAACCTAAACAGAATATAACTTATTTTAATTTTTACACTTACCTGATATAAATAATCTTCAAATACAAAATAATAATCATCATTGCTTGCTGTCAACTTCACATCCTATAATAAAAGTAGGGAATAAAGAGAAGAACTCAAATGAATCTATCATACTAAAGCATAAATATAATATCTACAAACAACATCATAATAATTTTATCACTTTTTGTATGTTTATAAATCTCTGGATTATATTTTATCACTGTTATATATTTACTCCCCCATATGTCTGTCAGTTTGTTGTACAGTGGGGACTTGCGTGTTGCTGTGATGCTGGAAGCTATGCCACTGGTATTCAAATACCAGCAGGGTCACTCACGCCAGAGAGGTTTCGGCTGAGCTTCCAGACTAAGACAGACTAGGAAGAAGGACCCGGCGGTCTACTTTTGAAAAGAATGAGCCAGTGAAAACCTTATGAATAGCAGCAGAACCACTGTCTGATATAGTGCTGGAAGATGAGCCCCTAAGGTTGGAAGGCACTCAAAATATGACTGATGAAGAGCTGCCTCCTCAAAGTAGAGTTGACCTTAATGACATGAATGGAGTCAAGCTTTGGGGGCCTTCATTTGCTGATGTGGCATGACTAAAAATGAGAAGAAACAGCTGCAAACATCCATTAATAATCGGAACATGGAATGTACGAAATACAAATCTAGGAAAACTGGAAATCGTCAAAAATGAAACGGAACACATAAACATCAATATCCTAGGCATTAGTGAGCCCAAATGGACTGATATTGGCCATTTTGAATTGGACAATCATGTGGTCTACTACGCCGGGAATGACAACTTTAAGAGGAATGGCATTGCATTTATTGTCAAAAAGAACATTTCAAGATGTATCCTGAAGTACAACACTATCAAGTTATAGGATAATATCCATACGCCTGCAAGGAGGACCAGTTAATACGACTATTATTCAAATTTATGCACCAACCACTAAGGCCAAAGATGAAGAAACTGAAGATTTTTACCAACTTCTGCAGTCTGAAATTGATCAAACATGCAATCAGGATGCACTGATAATTACTGGTGATTGGAATTCGAAAGTTGGAACAAAGAAGAAGGATCGGTAGCTGGAAAATATGATCGAGGTGATAGAAATGATACCAGAGATAGCATGATACAATTCTGCAAGACCAATGACATCTTCAATGCAATTACCTTTTTTCAACAACATAAACGGCAACTATACACGAGAATCTTGCCGATGGAATACACAGGAATCAAATCGACTACATCTGTGGAAAGAGACGATGGAAAAGCTCAAAATCATCAGTCAGAACAAGGCCAGGGGCTGACTGAAGAACAGACCATCAATTGCTCATATGCAAGTTCCAGTTGAAACTGAAGAAAATTAGAACAAGTCCATGAGAGCCAAAGTACGACTTTGAGTATACCCCATCTGAATTAAGAGACCACCTCAAGGATAAGATTTGATGCATTGAACAGTAATGACCAAAGACCACACAAGTTGTGGAATGACATCAAGGACATCATACATGAAGAAAGCAAAAAGTCATTGAAAAGACAGGAAAGAAAGAAAAGATCGAAATAGATGTCAGAAGAGACTCTGAAATTTGCTCTTGAATGTTGAGTAGCTAAAGCAAAGGAAGAAATGATGAAGTAGAAGAGCTGAACAGAAGATTTCAAAGAGCAGCTCGAGAAGACAAAGAAAGTATTATAATGACATATGCAAAGACCTGGAGATAGAAAACCAAGAGGGAAGAACACGCTTGGCATTTATCAAGCTGAAAGCACTGAAGAAAAAATTCAAGCTCAAGTTGCAATATTGAAGGATTCTATGGGGAAAATATTAAATAACGCAGGGAGCATCAAGAGAAGATGGAAGGAATACAGAGTCACTATACCAAAAAGAACTGGTCAACATTCAACCATTTCAGGAGGTAGCATATGATCAAGAACCAACTGTACTGAAGGAAGAAGTCCAAGCTGCACTGAAGGCTCCGGTGAAAATCAAGGCTCTAGGAATTATTGATGGAAAACCAACTGAGATGTTTCAACAAATGGATGCAGCACTGGAAGTGCTCACTCATGCATGCCAAGAAATTTGGAAAACAGCTACATGGCCAACCGACTGGAAGAGCTCCATATTTATACCTATTTCCCAGAAAGGTGATCCAACCGAATGTGGAAATTATTGCACAATATCATTAATATCATAGGCAAGTAAAATTTTGCTGAAGATAACTGAAAAACAGTTGCAGCAATACATCGACAGGGAACTGCCAGAAATTCAAGCTGGATTCAGAAGCGTACATGGAACTAGGGATATCATTGCTGATGTCAGATGGATCCTGGCTGAAAGCATGGAATACCAGAAAGATGTTTACCTGCGTTTTATCGACTATACAAAGGCATTTGACTGTGTGGATCAAAACAAATTATGGAGAACATTGGAAAGAATGGGAATTCCAGGACATTTAATTGTGCTCATGAGGAACCTGTACATAGACCCAGAGGCTGCTGGTCCAACAGAACAAGGGGATACTGCATGGTTTAAAGTCAAGAAAGGTGTGCATCAGGGTTGTATCCTTTCACCATACTTATTCGATTTGTATGCTGAGCAAATAACCCAAGAAGCTGGACTATATGATGAAGACAGGGGCATCAGGATTGGAGGAAGACTCACTAACAACCTGCGATATGCAGATGACACAACCTTGCTTGCTGAAAGTGAAGAGGACTTGAAGTACTTACTGATGAAGATCAAAGACTACAGCTTTCAGAATGGATTACATCTCAATATGAAGAAAACAAAAGTTCTCACAACCAGATCAATAAGCAACATCATGATAAACCAAGAAAAGACTGAAGTTGTCAAGGATTTCATTTTACTTGGATCCACAATCAACACCCATGGATGGAGCAGTCAAGAAATCAAAGGACGCGGTAACCAATGTCACAAAACAATATGTGAACTAATTGTTTAATGAGAAGCTAGTTTGTTCCGTAAACCTTAAACTAAAGTACAATAAAAAAAAAAAAAAGAAAGAAAGAAATCAAAAGATGCATTGCACTGGGCAAATCTGCTGCAGAATTAAAGTCCACAGCCTCCACTAGACTGTACAGTATAGACAGACAGTACAACTAGATGGTGCCTGGCTACCACCACTGACTGCTCTAACAGGGATCATAATAGAGGTTCCTGGACACAGCTGAAGAAAAATATAGAACAAAATTCTAAGTCACAAAAAAAAACCAGACTTACTGGCCTGACAGAGGCTGGAGAAATCCCGAGAGTTTGTACCCCGGACACCCTTTTGGCTCAGTAACGAAGTCACTTCTGAGGTTCACCCTTCAGCCAAAGATTAGACAGGTCCATAAAACAAAACAAGACTAAAGGGGCACACTAGCCCAGGGGCCAGGACTAAAAGGCAGGAGAGGACAGGAAAGCTGTTAATAGGGAACCCAGTGTCGAGAAGGGAGAGTGTTGACATGTCGTGGGGTTGATAACCAATGTCACAAAACAATATGTGTACTAATTGTTTCATGAGAAGCTAGTTTGTTCTGTAAACCTTCATCCAAAGCACAAAAAAAAAAAAAAAAAAAAAAGACATTTTTAAAGTGTTAAAAAGCAAAGACGTCACCTTGAAGACTAAGGTGTGCTTGACTCAAGCCATGGTGTTTTCAATCGCCTCAAATGCATGCAAAAGCTGGACAATGAATAATGAAGATGGAACAAGAACTGACGCCTTTGAATTGTGGTGTTGGCAAAGAATATTGAATATACCGTGGACTTCCCAAAGAACAAACAAATCTGTGTTGGAGGAAGTACAACCAGGATGCTCCTTAGAAGCAAGGATGGCAAGATTATGTCTCACATACTTTGGACATGTTATCAGGAGGGATCAATCCCTGAAGGACATCATGCTTGGTAAAGTAGAGGGTCAGTGAAAAAGAGGAAGACCATCAACGAGATGGACTGACATAGTGACTGCAACAATGCACTCAAGCATAACAAAGATTGTGAGGATGGCGCAGGACTGGGCAGTGTTTACTTCTGTTGTACATAGAGTCACTATGAGTTGGAACCCAGTTGATGGCACCTAACATCAACAACAATATAGTTACTCGACTAATACATGTGACATTAATTGATCTCAAATTCCTCACTCTTTTATAGGTTCCATTCTACTTCCTTATTACTTATTCCAATTTTATTTCCTTTTAATCTAATATTTAGGTATCTTAAAGTTGGGAAAGAAAAGTAGACACAGCCATACATCCGGAGGCAATCATAACAATCTGGCCCTAAATTACTGTTCCATCCCCTCAAAATATCAAAATCTTACATGTCTTTGTGATTATTCATTTGCAAATCATCCCTCCCTGGAAGGCTAGTAACACTGATTTTATGACTCATGAATTCATCTTTTAAGGGCCATTCATTGACTTCTCCTGGATAGAGTATTAGCTCCTTCCTCTAAAGGTAACTCCATTTCACACTTCCTGAGCTGAGATGACTTTAAACATTTCTACTCTTCCTATTAGACTTTGGGTTCTTTGAGCCCCAATGTTCTAATTGCTCTATAATTAAAACCAGTGCCTGGTACCTAATAAGTACCCAGTACATGTTTGACAAATGAATAAATAAAAATAATAAAATTGTTAAAAGAAATGAATTATAGCTTTATGGGAGGCAATGCATCACTATATGGGTAACCTTTGTTGATAAAAAATAAACAAAATCCCACAAAAATAAACCTCAACCTTCCCATTACCCCTAGGATGTCTGTGAATATTTTATACAGTAAGTTAGACCTGTTCCCTGTGTACTACAGTGTAAAGAGCATGGCCACTGCAACAGATTCAACTAGGATTTGAAACCCAGTCTTACTACTTCTAGCTGTATGACCTCGGGCAGTATGACTCCAACCTGAGTCACCTCATCTGTATATGGAGACAGCAACACCTACCTCAGAGTGCATGGGTAAACGCCAACCATAGTACCATACACAATGTACGCATCCAGAAAATTGTTTTAAAAATTAACCAAAAGCCTCCTCACTTAAAGTAGCCTTCACCAGTTTATAAGTGCA